CTTTTTTCTTCCCTTTTTTTCTTCCCTTTTTTTCTTCCCTTTTTTTCTTCCCTTTTTTCTTCCCTTTTTTCTTCCCTTTTTTCTTCCCTTTTTTCTTCCCTTTTTTCTTCCCTTTTTTTCTTCCCTTTTTTTCTTCCCTTTTTTCTTCCCTTTTTTCTCCCCTTTTTTCTCCCCTTTTTTCTCCCCTTTTTTCTCCCCTTTTTTCTCCTTCCCCTTCCCTTTTTTCTCCTTCCCCTTCCCTTTTTTCTTCTCCCCCTTCCCTTTTTTCTTCTCCCCCTTCCCTTTTATGCTGAACAAGCCCAGGTCCCTCAGCCTGTGTTTGTATGAGAGCCCTCTGATAGTAGAACCATAGAATCACAGAATGGTTTGAGTTGGAAGGGACTTTTAAGATAATCTAGTTCCCATCCCTCTGCTGTAGGGAGGGACACCTACTAGACTAGGTTGCTCAGAGCCCCATCCAGCCTGTCCTTGAATGCTTCCAGGGAGGAATAGGCATCCACAACCTCGCAGGACAACCTGTTCCAGTTTATCACCACCCTCATGATAAAGAATTTCTTCCTAATATCTATTCTAAATCTACCTTCTTCCAGTTTAAAACTATTTTCTCTTGTCCTGTTGCTACTTGCCCTTATAAAAAATCCCTCCCCATCTTTCCTGTAGGCCCCCTTCAGATACTGGTGGACTGCTAGGAGGTCCCTCTGGAGCCTTCTCTAAGCTGAAGAGCCCCAACTCTCTCAGCCTGTCCTCATAGGGAAGGTGCTCCAGCCCTCTGATCAAATTCGTAGCTCTTTTCTGGACCTGCTCCAGAACTGAATGCATTACTCCAGATGGATTCACATGCGCCCACTTTTCAATCCTGTCCGGGTTCCTTTGGTTGGCCTCCCTTCCTTCTGTTGTATCAACTGCACCACTCTGCTTGATGTCACCAATCCAGCTGTACTGGTCACTGATAAAGAGGTGTAAGAGCACTGGTAGTAGGACAAAGTTCTGGGGGACACCATTTCCTACAGGCCCCTATCTGGACATGGATATGTTGACCACAATGCACTGGCTGTGACCATCCAACTTTGTCTTTCATACAAGGAACTTGCAGTGATGTATTAATGATGCTATCGATGGAGAATCTTAAAAATTAAGAAAATTATGCTTTTAGGCAAGTATACCGTATAAATCTGTTAAGCAACCATAAATACAGGAGTAAAACTATCAAATCTGACTACAGTTATGTTCTATCTCATGCTTCTCCACATGTGTGTGTCTCGTTCTTCTTAAGAACAATGTTGTAATGCTTTGAAAATCCTGACTCTATGTATGGCTAGTTAACCTGTATGTTGACCACTTCAACTCTTGGGAAGTAGAGTCAGTCAAGTGGAAGGCTACAGTGCTGTGCCTTTCCTTGTGTATCATGTCCGTGGATTTTTAGTGTCTACAGCCAGACAATTTATCTACAGCATGAAATCTTGCATACAGTCTAGTCTAGATTTTAAAATAACAGTAGGTTAATTATTTACCCTGCAGGGAACGTTATTTTAGAGGTTTCTTCATGTTCAAATGGTAGCACCTTTAAATCTTCCTAAGGTACCCCTGTGTGCTCTGAATTAAAGCTTATATCAGAGTGAGATTGAATGCATACTTACTGTCATACTCAGCTACTCTGTGATACCTGAGAAACCTATATACAAAGAACATACATACCAATGAAGTTGTAGTATCACAAATCTGCAAGGGCTGCTCCAAACGTAATGCCTCCTATTCTATTATGTTGGCCCACAATGTCAGAGGTGGATGCTGGTGGTATGGCAGTAAGGGTTGAACCTTCCAGTATTCCACTACCTACTGTTGCTGTGTGATGATGGTGGTGATTGTGTTGAGGAATAGTGTTCTGTAGCTGAGAATTGGCTCTTCGAGCAGCGTTATTGTGCTCTTTGTTTGTTCCATGGAAATAAATAGGAGACATTGCTTCTGGACCGACGTATGCACATTTGGTCTTCAGATTCATTTCTACAAAGGAAAACAATAGTGTGTATATGCAAAATATCAAGCTAATCCTTTTTCAGTTAAAAAGTTAAAATATTGAATTAAGTAGTTCTCGTATCTGTTTCAGATGACACAAAAATCAATGTGAAGAATTTACATGATTTAAGATCCCTTTCTGAGAATACTGTTCAGTTCTATTGTGGCAGTTACAGCAATGTTTGCTGGTCATAGGAAGATGAATTAGTAGTGCTATACTTCTACTGAAGCTGTTCCTTCAGACCTCAAATGCACAGAATGTTAAGCAAAAGCCACTAGTGAACATTAAAACTCTGGCTATGGAATCACTCTTCAGTGTGTTACAGACTAGACCACCTGTACTTTCAAACATCTTTTTTCCTTTTTAACACATAAGTGTTGAAGTTTTCTTGTTGCTTCAGTTCTGTCTGCTTTTGCACCAAGAATTCTGTCATGCAGTCTTACTTGAAGCCATTAATTCTTAGTTCAACAAAAAGTTTGTCGATATTTTTTCCATGTAGATATCACTCTTGTGTATTCACTTACTAATCATAAAGGCTGCTTTGAAATTGAATGGACTTAATAAGCCAAACAGTCTTTAAATTGGAGGAGATGGTTTTATTGTCTGCTGAAAAAACAGTTTTACGTGGAAATTACATACAAGAATGAGGGATGGAAAATGTTAATGCTACGGTACAAAGTGAAACATACCTGTGGGAGCCAGGGACAGAATACCAGCCACTTTTAATTTCCTGATTTCCATTAGTCTGTATTTCAATCTCCTTATTTAAATGTTCCTTTTACATGCTTTTTTTTTTTTTTTGGTAATTTATTTGGAGAAATATTACTGGCCAGTTTCTAAGCAACTGTATGCTGACATTAGTTAACCGTGTCCTTCTTTCGCTTTTTGTGAAACTCAAGATTCTTGAGTTTATGTTGTCTTACTTTTCATGGTTTGTTGTATAATTAGGAGAACCTGGCTTGACTGCTTTTTGATGCTTTGTACATATTAAGTTTCATTGCCCAGTATGTGGGAATGTAGACAGCATTTACCAGCTCATTAAGCTCTTTAAATTGACTGATGAATGGATTGTTTCCTGTCACCACCACAGGTTGGTGGGTAGATTACACTCCAATGGACTCTGTCTAGAATATTTGAAAAATGTTAAGCTATCACAGCATTGACTGACTGGCATGATTATTCTAATTTGCATATTTTGGGGGTGAAAATTTTCTGATTAGACAACAGGTTAATGTTGTTACTATTTTCAAGTCAGGAAAGGCAAATGTTAAAACAAACAGACAAAACAAAACAACACCCAAAAAACCCTCTAGTTGATCCAGTTCCTCTTCAAAACATTAACTTTTAATTACAAATATAGCACATTTTCAGGACTCTGTTTGTGAAGACTAGTGTGTGTTTTGGCCAGGGTGAAGTACATGTAACTTTTTAGTCTCATCAGTGCACTTGACAGCATCTAAGAATCTGTTCTTGACCTGTTCTTAGGAACCAACAAGTTCAGGAAGGATGGCTTTTGCTGCTTTGAGTCTGTGTTAGTATCTTCCCCTCCACAAAAACCATATGAATCTGAGAAAAGAAATTCACTGAACTTATTTAGTGGTGGACTTTCACAAGTGTTGATTCCATTGTTCTCTATCAGACTAGAAATGTTATGCTCATGTAGTCACAGACTCTTGTTGAGGAGGCGATTTTGCTGTTCAGCTGATTGTTTCTACTCAAGAATAATACAGCATGAGTAAAGAACTGCGCTAGGTGGCCTTCAGAGGTCCCTTCCAACTCTAAGAATTCTATGAACTAGAAGACTGTGGTTCAATTAACTACAACTGGATACTAAAGCAGCTGTTTTTTTGTTCTACCTGAGTAATTACCACCAGAAGAGCTACCTTGGTGTTGATTTCTGTTAGTTTAGAAGGCAGATTCTGTTGGTTGGTTCCGGACTGTTGCCTCAAGTCTTGTTAAGTCTATAAAGATTCTTCTCAAAATAAGTTCTAACTAGTAAAGACTGTTGTGAGAGTTGATGCTAATGCTGTGACAAATGAATATTACTTTCCTATTCATGCACATATATGCAGCACATATACCAAACTTGCTTACGAGTAGCTGAATAATGAGAGATCATGAGAAATTATCATGAAATTAGCAGACTACAAAGTCTTATCTATTGGTGGCAACACCGTGTAGGGTCTGTAAGATTGTAATGAAAAACGAGTCAACTATGTGTCTAATTTGACATTCCAAATTAATCACGAGTTCTCAATATTAAATATAGTTTAAGATTACAGAATGCATCAAGAAGAGATGATTCTATATAAATGAAATAATGTGTAAAATTATGAGACATTTAATAGCTTTGTAACAAATAATAAGACATTTGCCATCCAGAATTCTTACTCAGAGAAATGTCTTTGGTTTGTCTGTGTTACTGAAAGCCATACTAGAGAGCAGAAACTTGAAGCTAATTTTTGAAGGTGCTCCTTAAAGTGGGGCAGAAACTTAGATCTTCTTTTACTGGGTGTTGTCTGTGTGAGTAAATGCTTTATTTATTTTATACCAAATATAACACATCATCCATCTGATATGGAAAAAGCATTATGTTTGTATTTATATATTCTGTTCTGAATTCTAGATGTTGCATTCAGGAACTTCTGTTTATCCACTTTTTAATACAACTGCTGAATTTAACCATTATCTGTCTCAAACTGTCCATGTATTATTATTTAAATTTATTTATCTCTGTATAATATTAGAAATATTTTTTCCCCCCTTCTGGCTTGCTAGGGAATTTTTCACCTGTACAAGCTGATGGCTATGACTTCCGTGAATCTCCAAATTACGTTTTACATATCAGTAAATTTATTTGAAAATTCTTCAAATAAATTTCATTTATTTGAAAATTCTTAATCCTTCTTTTGTATCTTTGTGTTTAATACGCTCTGTCATATTATACGTCACCTCATTTATTTTTATTTCCTGTTCCTGAATCCAGGGTTGGGAAGAAACTGTGGATTCTGCCATTTCTTTCTTGCTAAGAACTTGCTTGTCAAAGAGCTCTAAGGAACAAGCCCTGTCTCTCAGCAGCCAGTTAAGCATGCCCAAAGACACTAGCAGACTTAAGAAGAATATCAGCCTATTCTGTGATAGATTGGCAAAAGGTGGTCGCCTTTCTTTAAGCACTGAAACAGCCACTCAACAAGCCACTGTTGTGCCAGGTAAGACATGAACTTCATGGTCATAATTTAGAACATGTATTTGTATATAAAAAATTAAAAATGATGAATATTTGATTATGTTTGGAGCTTAATTTTTGCTGGTTATGGAAGCAAAGCGCTAGTTGTGTTGCAAGCTAATAGAATGAGCTAAATAAAGCTTTGATTTAAGATTATATTATTATCCCAGTTTGACCACTTATAACTTCTTCCTAGAGCACATGCAAAGTTATGGAGCAAATGTACCCCATATGGTCGTTTTGATACTCTAAATACTTTATCAGATTTTGTCTTTTGAAACTTTTCAATTGAATGGACATGTGCATTTCTAACATATGTGATGGAAAAGTGAGGATTGAGAAATTCCATTTTCTTGATAAATCCTATTATTTTGATTGAGAATTGTAGTAGTGATGTGCTTATGTCAAAATACAAAATAGTCAATATAGCAGTGTGCAAGTTTAGGAGGTGGCAGTTGGGTAGATGATTTATGAAGTTAAGGATCAAACTAATCTTGATGTATATTTCTCAATTAGAAAAGGAATTTAGAGATTTCAGTATCGCACAATGTTAAAAATGAAAATCTTGGAGTTACATTTTTAAAAAAATGTTATTTGTGTCCTTTTTTTAAAAGCTATTACTTTTTAGTTAACACCAGGAGCAAAATTACGTTTGCTCTATTTTTTAGTATATTCTGAAACACAACATCTTCTGTTAGGCTGCAAGACATTTTCTTCCTGCCTCTTTTCTCTTAATAAACACCTCCTGACTAGTTTGCATGATATTGTTCCAGCTTCCAGCTCTGTGTTTAGCTAGGAAATTCATTCAGCTTCATAGTCTTTTGAAGTACATGATGTCACTATGTTCTTTGGCCTCGATGACCTCCGTCACCTACAATAGTGATTGTCCCATTCTACTCTGCCCTTGGGAGGCCCCATGTCAGGTACTGCATTTACTGCCTGGTGTCCCTAGAACACAAAAGATGTGAGCTGTTGGAGTGGGTCCAGAGGAAGACCAAGAGAAAGATCAGAGGGTTGGAGCACCTCTGCTATGAAGACAGCTTGAGGGAGTTGGGCTTGTTTAGTCTGGAGAAGGTCTCATTGCAACCTTCCAATATTTAAAGAGAGATCGTAAGTAAGATGGAGACCAACCTTTTATATGTGCAGACTAGGGGGGATGGTTTTAAACTAAAAGAGGGGAGATTTAGGTTAGATGTTAGGAGGAAATTTTTTACTCATAGCATGGAAAGACTCTTTAACAGGTTGCTTGAGGAAGCTGTGATTGCCTCATAGAGCCATTCAAGGCCAGGTTGGATGGGGCCCTGGACACTCTAGTGGTGGCAGCCCTGCCTATGGCAGGGGGTTGGAACTAGATGATCTTTAAGATTCCTTCCAAACCAAGCAATTCTATATTACAAGTCAGTAACATGATCCTCTTAAAGTAAAACCGTGGCTTTGGGACGTAGTTATGTATCTTTAATGATTCCTCTTCTTTGTGAGGAAGGTTTGGTTGAAATGACTGAGAAACATGATTTAAGAAAAACTTAGATATGTAGAATTCAGGGAAGAGCATAACAATTGTAATTAGTTGAAGGTTTGGTTTTTTTTCCTAATTATTTCTATTTAGGGGAATAGGAAAGGTTGAAGAGGGGCACAATAGCTTTCCAGTATGCAAACTGTTCTTATAAGCATTGTCAACTTCTTATAAGTTGATCAGAATGATTGGCTGAACGTGATCATAGGTAACTGCAAGACACATCAGACTGCATCATACACCGTGTTGCCTTTGGCAATAAATAGACATCTGAATGAGGGGAAGGGTGAGGGTCTTGGGGAATGGTGCCAACCCACATGTGAATCAAAGCCAAGGGATTCTGGAAGGAAGATGTTGTCGACCACCCAAGCTGTCGTGTATTGAGTTTAATGAGTGTGAGAATTCACAGAATAAGTCCTGCCTACCTGCTGCAAATTAATTCTATAGATTTTAGAGGTCTCTTATGATGCCCGTGTCTTTTTCAAGATTGTTTTTGAGAACCTTAATATATGTCAGCTGGGGGTGTTTTTGAGAGTTCTTTAAGTCTGTGTCTGATTGGAGCTCTGTTTGCAGTATTTGCCTTACCTGTGGTTTGTGAACCTCACAACTACTCTTCAGTTTGAATGTCATCCTCTTTATCCACCAGCAGTTTCTGCTGTATCAGTTCAGTACTTTATCCAAGATTTTTACTTTTAAGCTATGATATTATTTTTCTTCAAACAATCACTTTTCCTCTCCTTTAATTTATTTTGTTTTGCTTTAATTTATTTATATTTTATTTTTTTAATTATTTCATTTTCCTAAGTGGAGTTCAATCATTCTTTTTTTCTCTGTTTTGGTTTACTTAGGGGATCTTTGCATTGTGCTTTAGCAGGATTTACTTATTTAGATTAATACAATAGAAGCACTGGAGAAACTTGTTATTTCAAATTAAAATCAGTTACTGAGTACATCATCAATGAAATCTGTGGAGTGCTGGTTGTTTTCTCAGTTTGACTGACTCTTCAGAATTGAAATGATAAGGAAATGTACTAATATTTTGCATCTAGGAAATAGGATTTGCAAATAGTATTCTGTCAGTGTACTATTCAAGATTTATATGAAGATAGAGCTAGAAAATACACCAGCTGCCTGTCTAGTTCTTTCTTCTGTGCTGCAATGGAGTAAAAGCATCCAGAGTATCCTTGATAGAAGGTTTTTTTGAGCTCATAAAAACTTTGCACAAGTTTGGAAAATCTCCTTGATAGCCTGTGTGATTGTTTAATTGTCCTTGTAGGAAGGCTTTCATAGTATTTTAATTACACTGTCTTTTCTGCAGATCAAACTGTTTCTTGTGAATATTGAAGGTAGAAGTGACAATTAATGATGTCCTTTATAAGCCTGTTTTCAGAATGGGATACTCTTCCATCAGTCTTTCTCTCTCTTAAAGTAATATATGCTGCTATACTCTGCTCCAGCTCTATTTCCAGACACTTTTCCTACGTATTAATTGCCTAAACAACTGTTTCCCACCTGCTCTTATATTTATGATGCTAGTTTTCTCAGTGTGGTGGTATATACCTGACTTTGCATTTCATTTTCATAGTATTTTTTAGACTTATTTTCACAACGTTTGTTTAACTTACCAAGTTGATTATAATTTTATTCTGCAAGGAGCTTGTAAATGACTTGGTGTTAATTGCTTTGTATAATCACAAATCTATCATTCAGGTTATGAATGGGTAAGTGCTAACTTTAAATACACTGCTTTGGGTTTGTTTTTTTAACATGTTATGTATACATATGCTCCCAGAATGTATTTAAAGTCATTTCTTGGAAGACAAAAGCTGCTCTTTTTTTTCTTTCTTTCTCTCTCTTTCTTTTTTTTTCCTGAAGTTTGTAAAAAAAAAAAAAAAAAAGGTATTTTCAAAATCCTGTAGTATTGTATATGAGTGATTTGAAGCTATGTTCTTAACTGGAAAAGTGGAATACAGCAGCATGTGTAGTATTTCTTAAGGAACCCTCAGTTGATGTGCTACTACACATGAGGAGAATATCAGCTGAATATTGGTCAGTACTGATTGATGGAATTTGTAGTCCACTGAGGTCAGTGGAAACTTTGACATGATCCAAATTAGATCCAGCATTTTGCTCATAATTTTCATAGTGCTCTCCTTGCCTGTTTCCACTATTTCATGATTTCATGATGATAATATTTATGAAAGTGCCCTGGGATTTACCTCGATCACATTTGTATCTACCTGTGATCTCAGGAATTGAACCTTAATGGAATTGCCTATTTCTCATTGAAAGTCAGTTTGTTGAGGACCTCTTTTCCTTAAATGTGCCCAGAGATCTTGCAGGCACGCTTATAAATCACTCCATGTCAATCCATTTGTATCGGTTCATTTGAAAAAGCACTTGAACGTGAAATTGACATTAAGTCACTTTAAATTTGCAAAGAAAATTCGAACTCATCTTTTCTAACTTCCTTAAAATCATGTAGGTTGGTAAATGTAGTGTCTTGGGAGGCTGATTCCCCCAGGAATTGGGTCATTTATTAAGAGTGAAAAATTATAGTTGATGATATTGAAAGACTGAATAGTGTATTTTATGCAGAAAGATGGTGTGTTTCTTATATTTGTTGGTTAGAATTTTTTTTTTTTGGTTGAAATGAATGTCTGAATGTGACTGTCACTAAAATATCACATTCATTACTCTTCATTCTCTAGAACACTCAGATGTCTCGTGCAAACATATCTGATCTGAAAATCAATGTATGTTTGCATTGTAACATTTATGTATCTTTGCTTTTTTTTGGCCAAGATTTCTCTGTAAGAAGCAGCTGTATATTGCAGCAGTTCTACTAGGGTTTGCTTCTCTACCTGTCAAAGATCATTTGCTTGCACTGAAACTAAAACAGGCCAGCCATCGCTGTGTTAATTTTTTAAGCTTCCCTACTCTAATAAAGGCAAACAGAAACATTGGGTAAAGTGTGTACTTTCTATTTACTCTCTGTAGGTCTTCCTTCTAGTAAGGTTCCTTCTTACCAGTATGGCTCTTCTTTGTTCAGGCCCTAAATTTTCGTAATTTTTTAAATTTATTTTTAAATTTTTTTTTATTTCTCCACTTTGCATTACACTTCATTGCTTTCCTTCCTGTACTATAACTTTTGATGTCCATGCAACTATATACACAGTTCCTTCACTGTGATAGTCAGGGCAACTGTACTCCCTCAGGTGGCTTATGATAAATACCTCTGATGGTGTGAGGTAGCAATAAAGGGATAGGAAGACCATTTTCTTGGTTAACTGTCAGTCTCAGTGGCCCAAAGCAGTTAGTGTAGAGAAAACCCTGAGGTACTAACATGGGTCTGTTGGGCAATGAAATTATGGGAAGGTTTGACAAAGGTGTAAGAGACTAAATCTTTAAACAGCACGATTCTGTATCCAATTCTTGCAGTTGTGCACGGTTCAGCTCATAACATTCTG